AAAATAATTATTTAAACTATATTACTTTATCTCTTCTCTCATAACAAAATGTGTTGCCGCCTCTACCCTCCTCTAAGGTTGAAGATAACGTCTTCTCCGATCAAAGTGTTCTCCTTTTAGTGAAGTTCTCACTCCTCCTCTTTCCCATCTATTCAAATTTTTTTTCCATGTTGTTCTTATTCATCTCAGATCTAGGTATTGAAAATACCCATCTGGTAAGATTTGTTTCCTCATTTTGGTTGTCTCAACTTCCAATTCTTATTTTCGGATCTCGATTCCGGTTTGTGTTGAAATTGCATCAATAACAGTTGATTTATACCTCACGAGGCCAAATTTGCTTACCAAGTTGTCCTAAAAGTTCATCAAGTTCACTGCCTCCCAAAATCTATACTTCTGACAAGACGTGCTCATGGCTTCACTCTTTCAATTACCAATCCAAGATACAGCCGCTTTCATTGTACATACTAGTAGTTGTTCAATTCATAATCTGTTTTTTTTTTTTTAATTTAAGTCGCTATATTATCTTATAAGTATCTGTTTTAAATACATCCAAACAGTATGCAAATAATTAATAGAAAATGATTCATTTTTAATAATATAATTTTTTTTTTCTGATCATCTTATTTTATTTTATAAACATTTAAAAACAAGATTCAATGTTTTACACTAATTCATTTAGAGAACAATGACAAATGTAATTGCTACATTGAAACACACCCTTGTTTTTATGCATACAATGGTGAGCACATTGTTGGCAATAATAATATTGAAAAATAGTAGGAGTGATTGCAAGATTATCTTCCTCTGAATTAACACTAGGCTCCGGTGGAGGCTCTGGTGCACCATTGGGCAAATTTTCATCGTTTTCTGACCTTGACACACCTATAAATAAATTATTAAATACAAAATATTAGTTTTAAATGCTTATATTATTTCAGATTATCAAATACCATAGTTATATATCACAACTAGTCGAGAATAAACTCACATGATAAAACAAGAACTGCAAAAGTTAAACAGAAAACAATTTTCTTCATTTTTCAATGTAAACTAACAATATTTTGAGGAAATATATTTGAATTTAGCTTTCTATTGAGATCTTGTTGTGATGTTATAAAGAATGATAACATCATATTTATATGGATTTTTTTTTACCTTATGTAACGTGATAATTAAAGTTTTAATGAGCGTTGAATTTTTGTAAATGCTAAGTAGAGAAACTCTCCCGTTTAACACTACAGTTTTTGTTTAAAATATTAATTAAAGGATAGTTACTAGTATTAGTATATTTCTCATCCACTACAAGAAAATATTGCCGATTCTGACTCCAGAATCCGTCGGGTACATTTTTGATGGATATCCGACTAATTTAAATTGAAAATTCAAATTGGTTTTCCGACGCAAAAAAACAGGTTGTAAATATCTTACGAACTTATGACTGTTCAACAACTGTCGAAAATAGTTTCAAAACTGTGGTTGAAACAGGTCATTTTTTATTTTATTTATGATCCTATATACTGATTACATAATTATAAATTTTTTTTTTATTTGAACTTAATTTATGATTTATTTCATCATACTATTATTTGCGAAGTCAGAATTTTGAATGGAGCCACCACGTTAACTCTCAGCCGCGGAATTACCGAGATGCCCTTAATGAAAATCTATTATTAAATCTTGAAAATTTCCGTTTTTTTAGTTATTTTGTTTCTGAATTAACGCAAAAAAATTATAGAATTTATCCTAATCAAATTAAATTATTTATTTTAAAAAGATACTGTATAATGTTTTTGTGTTTTTATAATATCTTCTTTTTATATATTTTTATTATTAATCAGTTTACTCTTAAAAATTAAGCTTCTTAAGTTTATTCTAAAAATATTCTTATCAATTTAAAAATATCTTCATCGCCACTAATTTATAAGAATATATTATCTGAAACCCTATCGTTAATAACCGACCAAACTAATATATATATAGAGATAGCTATAACCTAACAAGAACCTCTTCTTCGTTCGTATTTCTTCGTATGTTAATTTTTATGCTATATCTTCTTCCTTTTGTTCTTGCTTTCATGTATCATGCTATATTGTTCTTTTTCAGTATCTTAATTATTGTTCATGAAGAATCTTAATGATCCGTAACTACAACTTAAATTTGTTTCTTTTGAATTCAGTATCTACGCTTCAACTTTTTTCAAATCATGGTTTCGTCACCAAAGGAATCTGAAAGCTCCGAGAGGGACATCTTCGAAAGTTACAAAAAAAGGTATCTACAATTCTCATATTTGTAAACAACTTAAACATCATAAAACCAAAGCTCTAATAAGGTTCGTCCCTAACATGATCTGCTATGTTAATAATCTTTTTAAATCAGAATCAGAGAAAAAAACTTTACAAATACGATGAGGGCTACATTAAGTTTCTTCAGCTTTTATGGGCTTTGTCATATTCATAAATTCATTGTTTGATATAACTAACTTTATTAGAAACAGGACATGGAGGACTGAGCAGAACCCTAATCTCTCAATGACGTGGAATCTAACAAGGAAGAAGCTAGAAGACCAATGAATATTGCAGAGAAAAATTAAAGACCTTCTATGTGATTCTGCAAGATTTGAACTTTTGATCAACAAACATAAAATATCAGAGCAATATAACTATAAAAAGGAGAGAAAATTTACCAGACGAAATAAGAGAAAAATCTAACATACCAGCAGAGCCGTTCCCACGATTATTTGGCCCGTAGGCAAATTAAAATCTAATCTATGTTTTTAAGCAAGCTTTTTGACCAAAAAGATGAAGTTGGTAAAAAAAATAGAGAAAAGAAAATCAATGGGGGGGTGAAAGAAACAAACACATGATAAATACAGAAAGATAAGTTATTTTTTAGAAGAAACATAATAGTGGTGAACAATTTAGGGGAATACCGAACAAAAGCACTTTACGTGGAAATATTTTTCAAACTAATAACATCCTAAATTTAATACAAAACTAAATACCTTTAACTAAATAAATACAAAATTCAATGCCTCCAAACTAAATGTCATAGGGCCCGTAGGCGGGTGTTTCAAATTTTAACAAGTAGGCACGCCCCTGCATACCAGGTTCAGAATTTGGAGGATGGCATGATAAAGCTGGAATGTTTCCTATCGAAGGAGTTGATGCTATCGGAAAAACACATATGAAGGTTAGTGCGAAATCTCTTATCTTTACATTATTCTATGAATGCAAATCCTATTATAGGTTGTATAGTATGTGGATTGGATTGATGAAATCTATGTAGGGTATCATTTCAAAGGTGTGTAGCGATTACTCTTTCATATGGTGATCGTGATCGGCAAACCATTTCTCTATGTTCACAGAAGAGGATTTCGTGGAAATATTAAATTACAGGTCTGTTGAGAAAGTGTTTTAATATGGTCTGGTTTTGTTTTATTGTTTTAAACGTGTATAATTATAAATTTATAAATATTATCGTTTTTCATTAAAATGTTCGTAAAAGCATTTTGACTTTGACATGGACATTAAGGAATGTCTAAAGAAATTAAATGAAAAAGGATGATAAGCGCACATCTTGGATGTTCTATCATCTTGAAAGGATTTCGACTTTATTATGTTCTATACCTTATCTTTGTTTTATATTTTGAATAAATTAAAGTGAGGAAACAAGTGTTGTGGAAATCAAAAGAAAACAATGGTAATCTCATATGTAGATTATATTATTGTGTTATAAGTTATAACTCTTTTACATATTTTGGTATTTTCTTTTGTGTATATATAATTTGAAAAATTTATAAAAGAAGACTTAGAATGTATACATTACATGAAAATTTGGTGTCGATCAAATTCCTTTGAAGTTACAAAGAAAAACTAAAACAATAAAAGCAAATCTAGAACAAGTTTGTAATGTGGGGTTATAGTGTACGGTTTAGAGGGGGGTTATAATGTCGGGTTAGAGCTTAGGGTTTGGTGCTTATATTGATAGGTGTAAAGTTTAGTTTTTGGTGTATTTTTGAAATATCGAATACATTAACAATGCCGATTAAAAACACAAGAAATTAAACAACAATCTCTTTTAGAAAAAATACTAAAACAATAAAAGCATATCTAGAACCGGTTGGTAATGTGGGGTTAGGGTGTACGGTTTATGGGGGGTTAAAACGTGGGGTTAGGTTTTAGGGTGTAGGGTTTATATTGGCGGGTGTAGGGTTTAGTTTTTGCTGCATTTTAAAAAATTTGAATACACTAACACTGCCGATTTTAAACAAAAACTACTTAAAAGAATAAAAACAATATGATGAATGACAAAGACGATAAAAAAGAAGAAAACTGAAGAAGACAAAAAAAAAAAGATGATACAAATAAAATAGGGAATAATAAGATGGAAGAAAAAGGCAAAAAATCACAAAATAAGTTATAAGAGATGAAATTGATAAAATACAAGAAAAATGAGAAGACGAGGAAAGAAAATAAAATCAAAAGCTAAGAGATGAAGAAAAAAGAAGAACAAACCGGGGAATAAACTGTTGCGAAAGACGAAGAACAAGACCAAAAACAAGAATTAAAAGAATAATATGGATTAGATGAAGAAGGAAAATAAGAAGAAAAGAATATGGAAAAGATGAAGGAATAACAGAAAAAAAGAGGAAGAAAAAGTGAAAGAAGAAAAAGAAAGAAAAGATGAGGAAGACGATGAAGATGAGACAAATAAAAACAAGAAGAATGAGAAGTTAAGGAAGACATGGCAGTAAAGAAAGAGGGAAAGAAGAAGACAAAGAAACACCGAAAGAAAAAAGAATAGAAGATGAAGAAGAAGTGAGAAATCGAAAGAGAAAGAAAGAGAAGTGTAACATCCGAATACCATTTCACAACACAAGGCAAAATGAGGAAAAACTGCATCTCATTAAAACTCCAAAATGTATATCGTTACAACGAAAACGAAAATACAATAACACCAAAGCCAAAAATAACAACTGAGGCTACAAAGATGAAATAAGCTCACTCCTCGACCTGCTTGTCGAACCACTTCCTGAACTTCAACTTCATCTTTGCCTCTGGCTCCCAAGTCTCCTCTGTAGAACCACTGCAATCCCACAAAATCCTCAGTAAGGGAATCCTCTTGTTCCTCAGAACCTTTTCCCTCCTCTCTAAAATCCTCACAGGCACTGCCGGCACTGTCAAATCTGGCTGAAGATCCTCTGGAATCCTAGCCACTAACTCCTCTGTAGGGTGAAGACACTTCCTCAGCATCGACACATGAAAAACCTTGTGAAAGGCTTTCATAATCTCAGGCAACTCCAGCCTGTAAGCCAATGGCCCAACTCGCTCCACTACTGGAAACGGACCCATAAAACGCGGACTCAGCTTGTTCTCTGCTATGGATCTGTTAGGACCCCTCAACATAGCCATCTTGAGATAAACTCTATCTCCCACCTGAAACTCAAGCTCTCGTCTGCGTCTATCTGCATAACTCTTCTGCCTATCCTGAGCCTCCTTCATGTTCAGCCTCACAACACGAACCTTCTCTGTCGTCTCCTGAACATAAGTAGCTCCATACATGCTGCGCTCCCCCACTTGGGTCCAGCATAGGGGTGTCCTACATGGCCTCCCATACAAAGCCTCAAATGGAGCCATGCCAATACTCGCCTGAAAGCTGTTGTTGTATGCAAACTCAACTAAGCTCAGGTGATCTGCCCAATGGCCACCCCAATCCAACACACACATCCTCAGCAAATCCTCCAAAGTCTGAATAGTCCTCTCTGACTGACCATCTGTCTGCGGATGATAAGCTGTACTCAGATGCACCTTAGTGCCCATCTCTGCCTGAAACGCCCTCCAAAACTCTGAAGTGAATCTGGGATCACGGTCTGACACAATACTAGCTGGCACTCCATGCAGCCTCACAATCTCTCGCACAAACTTCCTAGCCAAGACAGCAGCTCCATCTGTCTTCTTGATGGCCAAGAAATGTGCGGACTTAGTCAACCGATCCACAATCACCCAGATAGCATCGAAAGTCCTCGAAACAGGTAGTCCAACCACGAAATCCATCGTAATCCTGTCCCACTTCCACTCTGGAATGGGTAAACTCTGCAAAAGACCACCCGGAACCTGATGCTCTGCCTTCACCAAGGCACAAGTGTTGCACTTCGCAACCCAGTCTGCTACATCCCTCTTCATCCCGACCCAATGATAGTACCTCTTGAGGTCATGGTACATCTTGGTCGCTCCCGGATGAATGGAAAACTTGCTCGCGTGAGCCTCTCCCAAAATCTGATGTCTCAACTCCACATCCTTAGGCACACAAACTCGCCCACGAACCAAGATAGTCCCATTCGCAGAGACCTCATACTCAGAACCAGTCACTCTCGTCGCATCAGCAAACTCTGATCACTCTGCTGAGCAACTCTGATCCTGCTAAGTAGATCCGCCTGATCCACTGCCTCTAAACCCAAAGGCTCCTGCGAAATGGCACACAAACGCAAGGTACTGATCTCGCCAACTAGAGACTCCACATCTCGCTCAACTGCGGAATCATACCTCCGTCTACTCAACGCGTCCGCCACTAGGTTAGCCTTGCCTGATAAGATTGTTTTGCTCATTTTGGTTGTCTCAACTTCCACTTCTTATTTTCGGATCTTGATTCCGGTTTGGGTTGAAATTGCATCAATAACAGTTGATTTATACCTCACGAGGCCAAATTTGCTTACCAAGTTGTCCTAAAAGTTCATCAAGTTCACTGCCTCCCAAAACCTATGCTTCTGACAAGACGTGCTCATGGCTTCACTCTTTCAATTACCAATCCAAGATACAGCCGCTTTCATTGTACATACTAGTAGTTGTTAAATTCATCATCTGTTTTTTTTTTTTAATTTAAGTCGCTATATTATCTTATATGTGTCTGTTTTAAATACATCCAAACAGTATGCAAATAATTAATAGAAAATGATTCATTTTTAATAATATAATTTTTTTTTTCTGATCATCTTACTTTATTTTATAAACATTTAAAAAAAAAATTCAATGTTTTACACTAATTCATTTAGAGAACAACGACAAATGTAATTGCTACATTGAAACACACTCTTGTTTTTATGCATACAATGGTGAGCACATTGTTGGCAATAATAATATTGATAAATAGTAGGAGTGATTGCAAGATTATCTTCATCTGAATTAACACTAGGCTCCGGTGGAGACTCTGGTGCACCATTGGGCAAATCTTCATCGTTCTCTGACCTTGACACACCTATAAATAAAGTATTAATTATAAATTATTAATTTATAAATGCTTATATTATTTCAGCTTATCAAATACCATAGTTATATATCACAACTAGTCGAGAATAAACTCACATGATAAAACGAGAACTGCAAAAGTTAAACAGAAAACAATTTTCTTCATTTTTCAACGTAAACTAACAATATTTTGAGGAAATATATTTGAATTTAGCTTTCTATTGAGATCTTGTTGTGATGTTATAAAGAATGATAACATCATATTTATATGGCTTTTTTTTTACCTTATGCAACGTGATAATTAAAGTTTTAATGAGCGTTGAATTTTTGGAAATGCTAAGTAGAGAAACTCTCCCTTTTAAAACTACAGTTTTTGTTTAAAATATTAATTAAAGGATAGTTACTAGTATTAGTATATTTCTTATCCACTACAAGAAAATATTGCCGATTCTGACTCCAGAATCCGTCGGATATATTTTTGATGGATTTCCGACTAATTTAAGTTGAAAATTCAAATTGGTTTTCGGACGCAAAAAAACAGGTTGTAAATATCTTACGAACTTATCACTGTTCAACAACTGTCGAAAATAGTTTCAAAAATGTGGTTGAAACCGGTCGATTATTTTTTTGTTTCTGATCCTATATACTGATTACATAATTATAAATTTTTCTTTTATTTGAACTTAATTTTTGATTTATTTAATTTAAAATAATTATTTAAACTAGATTATTTTATCTCTTCTCTCATAATAAAATGTGTCGCCGCTTCTACCCTCCTCTAACCATACGATTTGTTAAGAGTAGTTTTGTCCCAAAAAAATATCATTGGTTACTCACCTTATTTTAGTTTCGTTATGGCTATATGCTTAATATTGTGGTCCAATATGGTTATTCACCAAATTCTCCCTACAATTTATTGTTTGCTAATCAATATTTGAAAATAAAACTTATAACATGTATAGTATATTCTTTCGTCTTCTTCTTTTTGTTTTTCTTTCTAAAAGATCTAGAAAGAAAATGACGATTAAGTTTTCAACGACTAAACCTTATCGTCGAACTAGTTTCATATATCTTTATATTTGTATGCCAATACAAGATTCGGTTAACAACATGAAAAAAAAACAAAACTTACAAACGAATACTCACTTGGACAGATCTTATCGTTCTAGCACTATATATGTGATAAACAATCAAAACAAAAAGTTAAAATAAAAGAGATATTCTTGAGGCATACTTTTTTTTTGTTAAAAGGTGTTCATGAATCTAATTCCCTTTTATATTAAACCATTTTTGTTCTTTTTCATCTTGTTTAAATTTCAGGTGTTTAAACCCGACCCAAACCAAATCGAACTTTGACATTTAGTATCTTCTTGAGGCATGATAACACATATAAGAGTGCTAAGAACGTTGTCTAATTCTGAGAGACGACAAAAAAAAAATTAATTTCGACTCTTACAAACACCCAAAATCAATCAAATACACAATATAACAAGAACAAAACACGAAATCAACACAAAAACTCCACAAACAATCCAACTCTAGTGATTCACGAGCCTATGGTGAAACAGCCAAGCTATATATTTTTTTTTATAATTAAATCAACTCAGGGAAATTATCAAGTATATAAAATAAATAATAAATCAATTCAACAATATTCTGCAGAAGCAAAAAACAATAAAATAAATCATTCTAACAACTTAAACAGAGCAAAACGAATAGTCCTACATCTACTTCTTTGGCCTTATTCTGCGATCACTTAATTATTTTACCTGCAACACATTGCAAAAGAGTTGCGTAAGTATTTTATAAATACTTAGTGAGACAATCACCCTGCCTACATGCCAATTACTCAATTAAAATAATATTAATAATTCTCAGTAATTATTAAAACATTATTTCTCAATTATAAAATAATACTCATAATTAAATAATAATTTCTCAGATTTTAAAATAATTCAAATAATTATTTTAAGCCAATGAATTAATTAAATCTGAAATTAAACCATTTAACCAGAACCAACCAGAAATCAATTCAATTAAACCGAGTTAAATCAATTTCGAATTAAACTGAACCAAATCGGCTGTGTCGAGCGACACTCGCTTTGTGTTGGTCGACACATACCACTTTGTGTCGCTCGACACACATCCAAAAGGTCGACAAAAATATCAACAAATCAGCACATAAACACAGAATTCACCACATATACAACCAAACAACACGAAATCACACACACACACACATCACATAAACACCTTGAGAGCGATTTGCGAGCCTACAGTCATGCACTCACCTCAAATCGGATTGAAAACGGGAAAGGAAGAGAGATGGCGATGAACTACATCAAATGGGGCCTCGATCTACCTCTAGGAACTCGGATTCACCACGAAAATCGTCCAGAAATTTGGCCTCTCTTCTCCTCTCAAGAACACAGCAGCATCATGGCAAAGCAGCTGCTCTTTTTTCCTTTTAACTCGAGCCTTAGAGATACTTGGCCCAAACTGGGCTAAACTAGAGTCCAATTAACTTAACTTGAACCGGGTATTACAAGCCAAAACTTGTGTCGACCGACACACATCACTTGTGTCGCTCGACACAAAGTTGAAATTCTCCAAAATTGGTTACATATGGTCACGCACTCACCTTGACAACGGATTGAAATGGGGAAACAAGATGGAAACAACAAAGAACGACGAACGGCACTTCGATCTGACACCAAAACTCGGATTTTCTCCACAAAATCACCTCTTCTCCTCTCTAGAACTCTCTGCCTCGAAATCGGTGCAGAAAGGAGGTGGCTGCACCTTTTTATTCGAGTTCTATGGCTGCGCTGATCGACACCACCACTGTGTCGCTAAACCGGCCTAAACCGAACTTAAATCGAATCGGAAATTGAAATTCAGAACCTGCACCGACCGACACCACCACTGTGTCGCTCGACGCAAGACAAAATTCAATATTCTTTAGATTACAGATGTTAAAATTAATCGCAACTTCAAGTTTACAAATGTCGACTAATTCATCTTCTAAATTCCTTGGTATGACATCTCCTGAACGAATTTTACAATGTCGAAAACAATTTGCTATTATATAGATACAATAAACATTAATTGTCTAAGCCGACACAGCAAAACTGATAGTATCCAGAACATTGATCTTACTTGGATCAGATTGTCAGTAAAATCTTTGACGATAATGCATCTTAAAAAGCTCTTATTATTCCAGCATGAAAAGGTTGAATTTTTGATGTCATATTCGATGGCAAGAAGAAGAGCTCAACATTCTGTAATCCTTTAATGGCTCTGATTGGTGATGTAGTGAATAGTAGTGTATTACAAGAAAAAATAGTATGAAATATAGCAGTACAAAAAACAGTGGTACAAAATATAACAATACAAATGGAGATAATACAAAATAATAGTATGTAACTGAATTTCGATTGGTAACATTGTAATACTATAAATAGTATATTTTATAATAAAAAATAGAAATCAATGAAAAATATTAAAATAGTTGGCAAAAAAAACTTAAATATTAAAAATTAAAATAGTTTCTCAATTATAACACTAAACAAATTTTATTTCTGTATAAGGATCACTGTTGGACCTGGATTTCCCTCCAGAAATCCGGCCCATAAGGCCCATCACCTAAGTCCTAAGATCAAGATAAGTCCACTCAGGCCCAGTAAAATGACCTCGAGCCCACCAAGTATCCTTGTCCAAATCCAGCTGTTTACTGTCCGAGCTACTTGTGAAGACGAAGTCGAGCTCTAGCTCGACGGAGTCAAGTCCGCAAGCTGAGTTTGAACGAGTCAAACGAGAATCTCGCTTCGACTGTTCAGATCCGGAAATAGCGGGATCGGTAGTTGCACGTGGACGAGATACGCGGAGGAGGTTGCGATCTACTTCGGAGCTATAAAAAGAGGACGATTCTTGATCACAAGGCATGATGTTCCTTTTTACATCTCTAAGAGATAAGTTCTTTCTTGATCTACTTCTTTTCTTGAGATATTCTATCATCTTTTCTCTCGATCTTATCCTTGATCTTTGAGATAATCCCAGAAAGCCTGATCTTTCTAGCCGGAAATCACTTCCGGCAGAAGTTCGACGTAATCTCTTACCTTCGGATCACTCCGATAACCTGAGATTTATCGTCATCTTCACACCCCTTTAGCTCTTTTCGTGGTCATTTCTCTTCAGAAAACGACTCGAAATAGAGAACAACTTACAATCGAACTACGTTCTGGCTTGATCCCTAAAACAGGGTACGTAGGCAGCTCGTTAACGAGCGCAGCCACCACCTCATTTCCATCTCTTTTGCTTAGTCGAATCCTAGTGTTTTACATGGTCTTTTAGGCCGGTTTTGTAACCACTTTATTCGATTAGCCTAAGTCCGATTTCGTCAAATATTTGTCTACGAATCATTCGACTTACATCAGAATCTAACCTCTGATTCCACAGCAATTTCTCCCTACAAAATACACATAAATTTTGAGTGTGGTTTTCCGAACCCACATTTTGGCGCTAGAAGGAGGGGAGACAATAGCTTTCTCTTACACAAGGGTCGAACCTAGACCAGTTGAGAACGAAATGGACTCAGTCCTATCAAATTCTCAGGGAGCTCGCTCCCAATCTCAGATCCCATCGGATCAAATCACTTCGGATGTCAGCAGTGCCAAAACTGCAGACACATCGAAAAACCCGATCACAACTGGCAGCAGCCAAACTGCTAGTAGATCGAGCGTCCTGATCGATCCGGTTATCACCTCCGCGGCAGCGAACTCGAATGTTCCAGCCCGCGTGAAACCATCGGTGATCAACCTCGTCACTCCTGTGACAGCCGAGAACTCGATTCTACCGAATCAGATCTCGCACGCAATTGAGAGACCTCATTTGCGGATTCGGGTCAAATCTAAAGATTTCCCGATTACCTCGACACCGATCAGTCGGAAAACTCCGACAAACTGTGTCAACGTCGTTTGCCTTGGCTCGACCGAATCCGGACGACCAAGCCCGAATCAAGCGAATGCTCACCGACCTGATTAACGTCAATACGACCAAAAAATCAGGTTGGAAAAACATGAACGAAGTCTTGCTGAGCTACGGACGATTATAAGTCCTCCTCCGGGAACTCAGCTCGACTCTTCACCAATCTACGAACCTAACAGCTCGTCGAAACGGGATGAGGCACCACCGCGCTCTGTCTTCCAGACTCTCATCCCACCGATGACCTCGCCAAACAGCTCGTCGAAACGGGATGAGGCGCCACCGCGCGCTAATGTCTTCAGACTCTGTCCCACCGATGAGTTCAATAAACAGCTCGTCGAAACGATGAGGCGCCACTGCGCACTCGTGTCTCCAGACTCTCGTCTCATCGATGAGCTCGCCAATGAGCAGCTTGAACATTCCTGATTCAAGCAAATCGGAGATAGGATCTCAGCCAACAGAGCGACTTCCATCTCCACCTCCAAAGCTATCAGGTGTCGAGCCAACTATATTTAGATGGCCCGAAACTATGGCTTCAACTCAACTTGAGGCGATGCTCAGCTCAAAAATCAGTCCAATGAAATTTTGAGCTCGCAGCCCCCGCAACAGCTTCAAGTTGAACGGAAACTATCAACAGTTTCCCGCAACAAATGATCTAGTCGATCGAGCTCAATTTCATAGAGCAAACGATCCGACGATCTAGCTCGATTGACGAAAGCAAACAGCTCGTCAAATCGAGCTCTATCCCATCCGATTCCAGCTAATCGGATTCCTGTCGATCCGCGAAACCTTTTGGACTGCGAATCTTTCGAAAGATTCCAGGACCAAACAAACCTCGCATTCCGGCAAGCGAACTCAACGTTTAACCAAGCAATGAGTTCGATTCCGGATATCGACAAAGTAATCAGGGAGACACAACGAACTCCCTTCTCATCTAAGATTGCTAACCTGTCTGCGCGATACTTACAAGCTATGTATCCCAGAATACTCCGGTAATAGCGATCCACGAGCTTATATCCGAGCTCTTTATCTCGAAATTCTTCGAGCTCAATTTTCTCCTGAAGAGATAGAAGCAGCTTCCTGCCAACTCTTTGCTGAAAACCTAGCCGGACCAGCTAAAAATTGGTTCGCAACGCTGGATGAAAATTCAATCGATACTTTCGACCAGCTCCTTTCGGTATTCATAAACCAATATTCGATCTTCATCGAACCAGAAGTTTCTGAAGCCGATCTCTGGACGCTTTCTCAAGCTCCAAACGAATCACTTCGATCTTACGTCAACAGATTCAAAGCAATCATCGCTAAGATCGAAAACCCTAACGAGGCAGTAGCTCTACTAGCCTTCCGAAACAACCTTGTGGTACAAATCGAAATTCAGAGAAGAACTAATCGTTCGACCTCCTGTATCACTCGATGATGCACTTCGCTGCGCGTTAACCTTTGCTACTCTCGAAGAGGAGATTACTCTCCTCCTAGAAAAATATCGCAAAGGAGAACTACCACAACATTCTATCTCCATTGCGAGCTCAGTTCTCAAATCGAACTCGAGTTCCGAAGTCGAGAAATTCTGCAAAATACACAAAAAGCACGACCATTCCACCGAAGAATGTCGATCTTATGTTAAAAAGCAGAAAAGAAAGGCCAGGTTAGCTAAACGCAACAAGACCTCATCTAACGATAACGACAAAGCATCCCAAAAACGGGAACGCGAAGTCGGAATCAACCACCAAGAGTCACCTCTTTCTAAAAAGAACGATCTGACTCGACCCAATACCTAGAGAGCTCAGCTCACGCAGCAGCTCAATGACCCTCGCGGTCACCCACCCACCCGCACCAAAAAAGAGCGAGCTCTAGCTTACGCAGACCTCAGAAAACAAAACAAAAATAAAAATCAAAACTGCAGATTGTAACAGCAAGTAAATAATAGCAAAATAAAGAAACATAGTCTAGAGGTCACAATATTTGATTTTCAGTCCAAGATCTTCTGTTAAAAAAACAAAAACATAGAAAAATTATAGGAAAATTTGGCTAAAAGGGATCAAAAAGCTCTCCTCTTGTCCACATAATCTTTTTTACCATATTTTGTCCTAATACACTTTATAATGCTAAATTTGCCAAATTTAACCTTCAAAATAGAAATTAATATATTTTTAACATATACAGATATTATAATAATTTTTAAAAAATAAAATAACAAAGAAAAAAAGGGAGAGTTAGACAGATTTCTCAAAAATAATTCTCATTAGAAAACTAACCATTGTTTTAAAAACTTTGAAAATTAACCTTTTTAATAAGTGAAAAAATAATAAAACCATTATCAGTTTTTGGAATTAATAATGAGGATTATTTTTTAATTAAAAATTAGAAAATAATTTTGAATTTATATTATACAATAGTTTAGATTTTAGATGTATCAGAAAGATAGATTTTTGAAAGACAAGAAAATATATCTCAATAGAAACTTATAATTGGATATACATATATTACTTACAAAATATACTAAAATTTATCATCAATATCAATCAAACTCTATAAATAACATCTTGAAGATTTTTTCTTCTTCTTTTATATTATAATAAAATAAAAATAATTGTTTAGAATTATCTTTAGAATAATAGAAAATTAACTTTTTCAACTGAAATAATTTTAAAATAACAAAAACAAAACTGCCAGATTTGAAAAGATTTTTAATATATTTACTTTCTATATTTGACTAGATATTCACAGATTCTCGCATAAATTTTATTTTTACGGTTGGTAGAATTTAGTGTTACTTCTAGAATATGAATTCTACGAACTGTATAATCTGTACGGATGGTAGAAATCTGTGAAATTGTTAGAAAACATTTTCTATTTAACCATATAAAATATGAAAATCGTAGATAGTCTTTTTTACGAATGATGGAATTTTGAATATATGTCAGTCAGAAACGTGAACATAAGTTAGACTTTATATTCTACTGCCAATAGACTCATAATCATGTTGGAGAGTAAGTCTAATTTGCCTTATGGTTTAAGCACCGTAAACATAAGGCTACATAAGTTGGATGTCGAGTAAGTCTAATTTGCCTAACTCTAGCATCACTACAAAATTTCACTCCCCACTACAATAATTTATTTTATTTTAACTACTTACAGTTATAAGATACTCTCTCTTTTCTTTTCCTTAAATTAATTATATTGGGTCATAGACTCATAATCATATTATTTTGACTGGTTTCTATAGGTTGATTCGGAACCGAAGTGTGAGATTCATGGACAAATGGACCATCAATCCACTGCGCAGGTGAGGGACCAACTTTCTCCAAGCGAAGAAATAGGATCGCGACTACCACTTAATTCACCCATCTCCTACAATCTCTCCAAAGATAATTTCATCATGCTTTTCAGTTTTCACCCATATTTCTTATATCTAAGTGGACTAGGCAAACAATTTTAATATCCATTCCTATCGATCCACTTATATCTACATTTCCTTTTAGATTTTACCCTTTCTATAGTTGTTATATTCCTTTGTAAAAAAAAAGATAATAATAAATAATTAGGATGAGATGTAAAAGAAAAGAGAGAATCTCTGCAGCTAACGACAGCATGACACATGGCATTGACGATTCTCTTCTTTATGTAACTAGTTGAATAACTCTTTCCTTTCTCAACCTCTTTATCATTTTCTGTGCTAGGCTGTTAGCCTAAATTTCATTACGCCAGCTACACTCCAAAATCCATAATTGTAATAATCTCGTTTAGGTGAAAGCATGTTGTGATGTGGTGGTGGGTCCCTTTTATGGAGTCTTCTATCTTTTAGATTCCACTAATAAAGAGAAATTGGAAGAACCTGCATAAAAAAAAAACACACACATACCCTCATGCCTTGGAGCTAACTAAATTCGTGAATAGAAAAATGAGCAAAGTGTTTACACTACTTATTCTCCGAGTACTCATAAGTCTCTTACTTATCGTTTGGATTTCTCTTTGGATCATCAAACCGACCACTCTATGGATACAATCTTGGCGTCAGGCTGAAGATACCATCAAACACACTTTCTTCGGCTATTACGGTAAGTAACCTTCAAATATTATCTTATTTCACTTTCATAGAACTTTAATTTCAGCAATTGTTACTCTTGAAGGTCTCAACTTTGCCGTATTCTCATTCCCCCCTATCGCTCTCTCTACGATCGGACTCATTTACTTGAGTTTACTTCCGCAATATCAACGTCCAGCAAGGTAATATAAATTCAATCTTCAAGTCCAGAAATTAAGTAAGTAAAGATCAGAAGTTTGATGTTTGTAATTATGTCTACTTGGTACATTTAATTAGCAGTAGAGGAGGCAAGAGAGAAAATGTTACAGTCTCAAGACCAGCCATCATCAATAGCTTTATTGGAATTGTGTCCTGTTTCGAGATCATTGCTGTTCTTTTGTTCCTTCTCTTTCTTGCTTGGACCTTCTATGCTCGTGTCTCTAACGATCTCAAGAAGCTTATGCCTGTCAAAACCATGAATCTTGAATTGTAATATTTCTCTTCCAATTCCAAAATCTATAGAAATTTTTCTCTATAGAGTCGTTGACTAATTGTATGTTTTCAGATGGCAGCTTAAGTACTTTAGAGTTGCTACAAGATTTGGGCTATTAGCAGAAGCATGTCTCTCTTTGCTTCTTTTCCCTGTCTTGAGAGGACTCTCCATGTTCCGCTTACTCAACATTCAGTTTGCAGCATCTGTAAAATATCATGTGTGGCTGGGGACCGCTTTGATCTTCTTTTCTTTTGTTCATGGTGGAAGCACTTTGTTCATATGGACTATTACTCATCACATTGAAGAAGAGGTACTCTTAATAGTCCAATTACTTATACAAATCTTTTTTTTTTATGAATTACTAGAAGATTCTAGGCCGAAACTCTTACATTTCCTAGGCGTGGAACCACATAATGTAATATTGGTTCTGTCCCAAATGGCACTCAATCTTGTGAACATCTAGACTTTGTCTAGGTTACTTTTCCGGTTGAGTTAAAGCCACTTGTTTACAAATCTTGAATTAATGTTCATGACTCTTTCTTGTGGTAAAAAAAAGATTTGGAAATGGCAGAGAACGGGTCGGGTTTATATAGCTGGAGTGATCAGTCTTGGAACAGGATTACTAATGTGGATCACATCACTTCCTCAAATCCGAAGGAAGAAATTTGAAGTTTTCTATTACACACACCATTTGTATATACTCTTTCTTGTATCTTTCTTGTTTCATGCCGGTGATCGTCACTTCTACTGGATCCTCCCTGGAGTCTTTCTCTTTGGACTCGACAAGACACTTCGGATTGTTCAATCACGATCCGAAAGCCGCCTTCTCTCGGCCCGTCTCCTCTCTTGTAAAGCCATTGAGCTTGTCTTGCCAAAGGACCCATGTAAGAAAATACATTTCTTTACGTAGCTTACTTCTTTTTTTGTAGACATTCAGTATGGGCCACGTTAATCTTCTTTATGTAATTTAAGATTACACATATAACAAGAATTTGCTTTCTTTTGGTGATTTTTTTGGGGTATTTTTCAGGGCTTCACTACACTCCATCGAGTTTTGTATTTGTGAACATTCCAATGATCTCACAATTTCAATGGCATCCGTTTAGTATTACATCGAGCTCGAGTGTAGACAAACACACATTATCTATTATGATGAAATGTGAAGGAAAATGGACGAATTCTGTTTACAACAAAGTAGAAGAAGCTGCGAAGAAGATTGAAAACATGACCATAAGAGTTGAAGGTCCTTATGGACCTACCTCGGATGATTTCATAAGGTTTCCTAAAACACTCTCTCCATCAGCTCAATTTTTTGAATAATTTAAACCTTATACGTATTTGATTTGTTTGGTTAGGTATGATACTTTGTTTCTTGTGGCGGGAGGAATCGGGATCACGCCGTTTCTAAGCATTTTACAGGAGCTTGCGGCGTGCAAAAACCGACCCAAATCTCTCAAGAGAGTGCAGCTAGTGTTTGCGGTTAGGACGTTCCAAGAGATGAACATGTTGATTCCAATATATTCTGTACTCTTTAACCCAATCCACAACTTAAGCCTCAAGGTAAAAGTTTTTGTCACTCAAGAGAAGAAGCATTCCAATGGACCAACAACATTGCAAGAGTTCTTGGCTCAGTCACAAGTTCAGTCTGTTCACCTTGGAACCGACGAGGACTATTCAAGATTCTCAATTCTTGGACCTGAAAGTTTCAGACGGCTTGCCACATTAGTCCTTGTAACCCTGGTTGCGTTTCTAAGCTTGCTTATCGGGCTAAGCCATATCTTTATACCTTCTGAACACAAGAAGCATTCACAGTCTATGAAGTTAGCTGCTCCAGGAGCAATCAAGACAGCTAAAGAAAAAGTTCCTTCTTGGGTTCCGGATTTGGTTATCATTGTTTCTTACGCTGTAGCTATAACAATTGGTGGTTTAGCTGCAACTATTTTACAATGGAGACGACAAAAACAACACAGAGAGGCACCAAAAGAAGAAGTAAATCCAATGGAAAGAAATTTTACCGAGGTGATACCAGTTGAGGAACATCAGATACATTTCGGAGAAAGGCCGAAATTTGAAGGTAGTGATTGATTAAAATTTAATATTTTTGAGACTATAACTCTCTTAAGGTTCTATAATTTTTTTTCATTTTTTAACGCAGAGATATTGTCGGAGTTTGAGAAGAACTTAAGAGGATGGTCGACTATAGGAGTGTTGGTATGTGGACCGGAGTCAATGAAAGAAGCTGTGGCATCGATGTGTCGCCATAAGTCTCAGTGTTTTGGAGTAGAGGAATCAGGAAGAAGCAACATGAAGATGAATCTCAAGTTCCATTCTCTTAATTTCAACCTCTAGTCTAAAAAGCTTTTGTATGTTTTTATCGTTAGTTTCTAATATTACAATGTTTGGTCACATATTTTAATTATGTTTGCAGTTTATCCTTTTCCTGAAGGGAGAACTTGCAAATTATGCAAAAAAAATATTTCACTGTTGCCTTTTTTTTTCCCCTTGAAATGTATTTGGGTGTGAATGACTAAAACCTTGTGATTTAGGGGAATTTTTTAAAACAAATTTCACATAAAACCAAATTTTAAATTAAAATCACAAGTTATGTGTTAAATTCTTGAATATAAAAACGCTATCTTAGCTCATCAATAACAACACAAACCTTTTTCTTACTTTGTTTCGGAACTCGGATAAGCTATAGGACCATTTTGTTTCCTATGTAGGCAATCTTACAGTTTAAGCAAATTGTCTAACAATACTGCCAACCTTTTAAACAAATGTAAAACTCTGTGGCCCAAAATACGTGTAAGACAAAGGACTGTGACAGATAGCGTCATACTGTTAGTCTATGTGGAAGTTTTGGCGCAGTTATGTGACTTACGTCAAACATAATCAATAGCCGCCATGAAATTCAAAATGAATTTAACACTGAAAACTAGTAGAAAATTTATATTCAATCCTTATACGATTTGTAAGATCCTTTAAACTACAAGAAAACATGCGAAAATTAGGCTAATGTACTGATTATTTTTTCCATCTTGTCATTTTTTATTTATTAAACAAATATTCATCCTCTCTTTCATATTACTTGTCGTTTTGAGAAAAAAATATTTACAAATATGTCATTATATGTTTTAAGTTTACTATATACATTTCCTCAAAAGCATAATTGAAACAAAGAGAGTAAGATCAGATTATCTACATAATTCAGCCAAAAATCATTTATGATTAGTTGATTACTCATTTTAATGAACACAATTAAAAAAAAAACTTAACCAAATCACTCTTAATAAAATATTAAATACTAACAGAAAGAAATTAAATACTTCCGTTAAAGAAAGAAATCACGACAATTCACTGATCACTTCAATATGAAAAGCTGAAAACCACAATCTTCTTTAAGTAAAAAAAAAAATGTTTAATGTTTAGACCGAAATGTTGTCTTATTCCAATCAAAAGTTCTTATAACAAGGCAAAAAGCGTGACTGATGGCTCAAATTCTCATACCTCTTTTATTCCAATTACCCAAAGATGCTCTCTCTTACACTTCTGAAAACTCAGAGAAAACTGTTTAAGAATCGTGTTCCACAAAATATATTAAAGCTGAAACAGTTTTGCTAAACATTTAACAACAGAAAAACACGAATTAGAAAAAAAATCAAACATAAAAGCCTAAATTACTGATTAACCAACAAATTTATACATATGTGATAAGTAATTATTATAAGTCATTTTTACTGATTAATCAAAGCGTATGTGTCTAAAGTCTAAACACTGAATGACTTACTTCTTATAAGTCATATCCCATTTAAATTTGAATCATATTCTCTTTTATTTTGTCTAAATTTCAGATATTAAATCAAATCTAGATAGTACCAAAATATATGAAATCCGAAAAAAAAAACTATATCTCAAATATCCAAGCTTAGGTTGAATGTCTATGATATAGATGGTTTATTTATTTAATTGATAACTGAAATGCATATTTAATCAAAAAAATCTTTAAGTTGAAATGGTTTTGCTAAACGTTCAGAAACCAAAAACATGAAATGCCTAAATCACTGACTGACTGACCAACAAAAATCGCCGAATGTGAGCAATTTCTGAAACCGACCCACAATCCCAAAATCCCAATCATCACATTCCGTGTCACTCTCTTCCTTTCCCACGTTTTCTCTCCCTTTATGGGTTTTAACTGCCCTTTTCTCTTCTTCCGTTTTTCTTCATTCAAACCTCTCACAAGCTTTCGCTTCTGATCGACGACGACGATGAGGCTTTACGTCTACGTCCTGCAAGCGAAGGATTTACCGGTTGAAGAGACGTTCGTGAAGCTTCACGTTGGGAAACACAAGTCGAAAACGAGAGTCTCGAGAGATACTTCGAATCCGATCTGGAATGAGGAATTCGTTTTCAGAGTTGGTGGCGATTTCGAGGAAGGCGACGATGTTGTCGTCTCGATTCTTCATCACGAACAGGATAATCATCACTCAGGTCAGTCAGATGTCTCCACGGGGCTGATTGGGAAAGTTCGGATACCGCTTTGTGACGTCGCCGGTGAAGAGAATCAGACTATGTTGCCGAAGTGGTTCGTTATTGAAAAGCCCAGTGATGGCAAGTTTGTTAACATCGAATGTGGTTAGTATTTCATTCCCTATGGTATTGATGTTGTTCTTATTCGTAGATTCTGGAATCGGATTGATTCTACAACCACTTGCGCAACCATGAAAGTAAGCGTTGAGTGTGAGAATCTGAGTATCTAATTAGTGGGAAATGGCTTACAATTAGTGATATTAACTTGGATTGATACACGAGAATGTGTTAGATGATTATCTGGATTTGAGATTTCTCTGAATGCAACTGTGAATTCACGAGAATGTGAAGGTGAAATGGGAAATGGTGTGTAAGTAAACGACATTGATTCATTCAATGAGAAATTAAGTCTGTAATTAGTGGGAAATGGGTTACCACTAATGATAATAGCTTGAGATCATACATGAGAATGTGTTAGAAGTCTCTATGAGGATGAATCTTTCTGAAATGTCAACTACTTAAGAATACACATTCTCTGCTAATACTCAACACAGATTGAGACACAAGAATCATCAATATCTTTGAGTTTTATTTTGGCATTGGGCTCTGTATCTGTGTGTGTGTATTTATTTCTCGGTTTATCTCAGGATATAAACATTTTACCTTTTTCTTGCAGGGAAAATCCTTCTTAGTTTGGCTTTGCAAGGAAAGTCGGAAAGTACTTCTGGTGAAAAAGTCCCCAGTGATAAGCAGGATATCAACGTGGATGGGGTTAAAGAACTCGAAGGATCGGCTAAAGATGGGAAACGGCGTAAACACCATGATGGGAAGCATATAATGAAGAATTTTGTCAACCAGATCGACAAGCTTTTTCATAAGAAGGAGGAAATCTCTAAGAGGCTCAACGACGAGCCAGCAGGAGAAAGTGTAACCTCGCACTACGAGGATGCCACGGACAAATGTTCTGTCTCTGCTACTTGTTCTGGCTTTGAGGAAGGCCTTGATATGATGCAGTCTAGTGACGGAGAAATAGAAGAAATGCCTGAGAATCTTCTAGGGGGAATTCTCCTTGATCAGAAATATTTAGCCTCGCCTTCTGATATTAACAAATTTCTTTTCTCGCCAAATTCACAGTTTAGGAAAGAGTTGGCTGAGCTTCAAAATCTAACAGATGTACAGGAAGGCCCTTGGACAATGACACAGGAAGATGGGACTCCTCGTCTAACACGGGTTGTCACATACACGAGACCTGCAACAAAGATGGTCAAAGCAGGGAAAGCTACAGAGAACCAAATCTACAGGAAAGCGAGTGGGAAGCAGTTTGCTGTTTTCGTTAATGTAAGCACACCAGATGTTCCCTATGGAAACACCTTTAAAATAGAGTTGCTTTACAAGATACTACCTGAGACAGAGCCAAATGCTGGTGGTGAATCTTCTCGACTGATTATATCGTGGGGGATTCGATTCAGTCAAAGTACTATAATGAAAGGAATGATTGAAGGAGGTGCTAGGCAAGGGATGAAAGACAGCTTTGAGCAGTTTGCTGATCTCTTGGCTAAGAGTTACAAAACTATTGATCCGGCTGTTTCATTGGACAAGGATCAGGTTATAGCCACAGTGCAGTCAGAAAAAAAGACTGATTTGAAATCAGCTTTTCTATACTTCTGGAGTTCCTCTGTTATCTGTGCTATTCTTTTGTCTGTGTATGTTGTGGTACATATACTGCACTGTGAGCCTGGCAAAATCCAAGGTGTTGAATTCTATGGGCTTGATTTACCTGATAGTTTTGGAGAGTTGTTCAGTAGTGGAATACTAGTTCTTCTTCTGGAGCGTGTTTATATGATGACTGTCCACTTTATACAAGCTAGATTGCATCGAGGTAAAATGATTTTTTTCTCCTTATAAACAACATCCAAACTTGTATTACTTGAGCAGTCCAATTGACGTGTCTACCGTCCTTTGTCTGATTTCAGGGAAAGATAATGGAGTCAAAGCTAATGGTAAGGGATGGATTCTGACAATAGCTCTAATTAAGGGCACAAATTTGGCTTCGGTGGAAGCAACAGAGCTTTTTGATCCTTATGTTGTTTTCACTTGCAATGGGAAAACAAGAACAAGCTCTGTCAAACTCCAAGCTCAGGATCCTCAATGGAATGGTATTCAAACTTCATTTCCTTAGTCTCAGTGAAAATCACGTGTCTCATTGTTTTTTTTTCTCTCTTTCGTTTCTACTAAATAATACATGGTGTGGTTCTTGCAGAGGTAATCGAGTTTGATGCAATGGAAGAACCACCGTCGGTATTAGATGTGGAGGTTTTTGATTTTGATGGTCCGTTTGACCAGGGTGCCTCTCTTGGGCACGCAGAGATCAATTTCTTGAAACATACAGCTGATGAACTTGCAGACTTGTGTGTTCCTCTAGTTGGTCATCATGCTCAAGCGTCTCAATCAAAGTTACAATTAAGAATCTTTCTCGAAAACAAGAACGGGGTTGAAACAATGAAGGATTACTTGAGCAAGGTAGAAAAGGAAGTTGGCAAGAAGGTAAACATATACATCTACTACAATGAAGTATTTTACATCATGGTTGCTCGGATAAGCCTGAAAAAACTGGTCTCTTGTTCTATGTGGTTACAGTTGAACATTCGGTCACCACAAAAGAACTCTGCTTTCCAGAAACTCTTTGGTTTGCCGCATGAAGAGTTTCTTCTCAAAGAATATACATGTTACTTGAAGAGAAAACTGCCTGTGCAGGTTTTGCGTCTTTCTTCTTTTCCTCTGGCTAAATTCTTGTACTAGTTGTGGATTTCACCCATGCTTACTACTGAATTTTGACAGGGAAAGCTGTTTCTATCTGCTAGAATCGTGGCCTTCTACTCCAATTTGTTTGGACACAAGACAAAGTTTTACTTCCTCTGGGAAGATATTGATGACATCCAAGTGCTTCCACCAAGTCTTGCTTCCTTAGGTAGCCCTTTGCTGCTAATCATTCTGAAAAAGAACCGAGGCCTCGATGGAAAGCATGGTGCTAGATCTCAGGACGAGGAAGGCAGACTCTGGTACTATTTCCAGTCATTTGTGTCATTTGATACAACAAGCAGGTACTCGAAGGAATTTAACTTTACACAATCATAGATATTATTCAGTGTTTGTACGTAAGCTGATGGATTCAAGAAAATGGCAGGACAATCATGGCTTTATGGAAAACGAGGACGTTAAGTATAGATCATAGAGCACAAATAGCAGAAGAAGAACAAGACGTATCAGATCCCTTCCTCTTACCTGAAGATACCTCAGTTGTTCCAGATGCGGATGCGTTAAAGATGTCGAAAGTTCACTCGTGTGATCTACCTGGAGATGTATATATCTTCCACTCCTCCTGAAGATTGGTATTCTCAGAAAATTGATTTAAATCTCCTTCTGTTACAGGTGGAATTGGTAATGAAGATCTTTGGCGGAGGAGAAATGGAGCGTAAGATCATGGAGAAATCAGGATGTCTCAACTACGCGAGCACGACATGGGAATCGAAGAAACCTGGGATCTACGAAAGACGCCTTTCTTACAAATACAATCACTACGTCTCTGTCTTTGGAGGCGGAGTCACTTGCTCACAGCAGAAATCTCCAGCTCCGAATGATGAAGGATGGATCTTGAATGAGATTGTCGCTCTTCATGATGTACCTTTCGGTGACCATTTTCGCGTAAGCCTTCTTCCTCTGCTTTTACATAGCCAATTAGTGAATGATTGTGATTGTGATTGTGATGATTATGAACGTGTATTAGGTTCATCTGAGGTATGAGGTGAAGAAAGGAGGAGTTGATTGTAAAACAAGTAAGTGTGAGGTTTATTTGAAGATAAGGTGGCTTAAACCGATAAAGTTTGAGCAGAGGATAAGCAAAAGTATAATGGAGAAATTCAGGAATCGATTGAAGGTTATATTTGATTTGTTTCAGAAAGAGTCTGTTGCAAGTTCGTCTTTGACACTTCTCTGACTAATCCATGAAGAAAAAAAAAAACTCTACGTTTGTTAACAAAATGTGTCTACCTTCACTCTCGCAAATCATGTGGCTTGCACGTGACTCGCTTCCGCGTGTTGATCATGAACAAATACATAGCCACGGCCACTTCTTTGGTATTCGTATTTTGGAACAATATCCTCAAATTTTGTGCGTAGATACACAATTAACACCAATTTTTATCATTTTACTTTTGCGAATTATAATTATCATTTTCTAGTTATCAAAATTATAATTTACTGAACACCTTTCCAAAAGTAAAACATATATTTTAGCAATAAAGGTTAAATTTATTCAATTATAATATTATTATTTTGATGGTAATTTTTTCGTACAAATCAAGCAGACGATATGATATTTTTGAAAGTTGTCCAATTTTTGTTTTTTTTTTTGTTTTTTTTTCTTAAATAACTAGGAGGTTCTGGCTAAACTCAATCCTCTAACCTCAAGCTTGCCTATGATCCTTTAGTAGTCAACTAGGAGAGCACCTGCGCAATGCGCGGGTTTTTGCTTCAAAATTTTTTCAGTTTTTCATATAATTCAAGTTTCCACGATTTATTATTATGTCTTTTCTACTTGTTCAGATCTTGTTTAAATTTTTATTTAAAAAGAGTTAAACTGTTAGTGAAATGGTTTTGCTTTTTTTTTTTTTTTTCTATTGGCGTAATTTAGAAGCATAATTTAAGAAAGACTACAATCTTAAGAGGACGACAAAAGTTTCATGGGCTTGCTTATCTGAAGCACTTTGTGGCAAACCCATACCAATTCTCCCTTATTGGACTAGATTTTCCTGTGCAATCTCCAGTTAGCAAATGAATGATCTACCAGAATTAGGTCCATTTGATGTTCCTTCTTTGGATTAAGACCGTTTCAGTTATGTTTGTCCTCATAGTCATATGTATGTGTAGAAGCTATTAATCCATGTTTGGGTAAGTATGGAACCATCTAGTTCATCTTATACACTACAAGTGAGTTTCCACTATGTGGAGTCACGGAAGTACATTTCGGACTCCTTACCTCTTCCGATTCCCAAAATGATAATTATAATGTGTCTACCTTCACTCTCGCAAATCATGTGGCTTGCACGTGACTCGCTTCCGCGTGTTGATCATGAACAAATACATAGCCACGGCCACTTCTTTGGTATTCGTATTTTGGAACAATATCCTCAAATTTTGTGCGTAGATACACAATTAACACCAATTTTTATCATTTTACTTTTGCGAATTATAATTATCATTTTCTAGTTATCAAAATTATAATTTACTGAACACCTTTCCAAAAGTAAAACATATATTTTAGCAATAAAGGTTAAATTTATTCAATTATAATATTATTATTTTGATGGTAATTTTTTCGTACAAATCAAGCAGACGATATGATATTTTTGAAAGTTGTCCAATTTTTGTTTTTTTTTTTGTTTTTTTTTCTTAAATAACTAGGAGGTTCTGGCTAAACTCAATCCTCTAACCTCAAGCTTGCCTATGATCCTTTAGTAGTCAACTAGGAGAGCACCTGCGCAATGCGCGGGTTTTTGCTTCAAAATTTTTTCAGTTTTTCATATAATTCAAGTTTCCACGATTTATTATTATGTCTTTTCTACTTGTTCAGATCTTGTTTAAATTTTTATTTAAAAAGAGTTAAACTGTTAGTGAAATGGTTTTGCTTTTTTTTTTTTTTTTCTATTGGCGTAATTTAGAAGCATAATTTAAGAAAGACTACAATCTTAAGAGGACGACAAAAGTTTCATGGGCTTGCTTATCTGAAGCACTTTGTGGCAAACCCATACCAATTCTCCCTTATTGGACTAGATTTTCCTGTGCAATCTCCAGTTAGCAAATGAATGATCTACCAGAATTAGGTCCATTTGATGTTCCTTCTTTGGATTAAGACCGTTTCAGTTATGTTTGTCCTCATAGTCATATGTATGTGTAGAAGCTATTAATCCATGTTTGGGTAAGTATGGAACCATCTAGTTCATCTTATACACTACAAGTGAGTTTCCACTATGTGGAGTCACAGAAGTACATTTCGGACTCCTTACCTCTTCCGATTCCCAAAATGATAATTATAATGTGTCTACCTTCACTCTCGCAAATCATGTGGCTTGCACGTGACTCGCTTCCGCGTGTTGATCATGAACAAATACATAGCCACGGCCACTTCTTTGGTATTCGTATTTTGGAACAATATCCTCAAATTTTGTGCGTAGATACACAATTAACACCAATTTTTATCATTTTACTTTTGCGAATTATAATTATCATTTTCTAGTTATCAAAATTATAATTTACTGAACACCTTTCCAAAAGTAAAACATATATTTTAGCAATAAAGGTTAAATTTATTCAATTATAATATTATTATTTTGATGGTAATTTTTTCGTACAAATCAAGCAGACGATATGATATTTTTGAAAGTTGTCCAATTTTTGTTTTTTTTTTTGTTTTTTTTTCTTAAATAACTAGGAGGTTCTGGCTAAACTCAATCCTCTAACCTCAAGCTTGCCTATGATCCTTTAGTAGTCAACTAGGAGAGCACCTGCGCAATGCGCGGGTTTTTGCTTCAAAATTTTTTCAGTTTTTCATATAATTCAAGTTTCCACGATTTATTATTATGTCTTTTCTACTTGTTCAGATCTTGTTTAAATTTTTATTTAAAAAGAGTTAAACTGTTAGTGAAATGGTTTTGCTTTTTTTTTTTTTTTTTCTATTGGCGTAATTTAGAAGCATAATTTAAGAAAGACTACAATCTTAAGAGGACGACAAAAGTTTCATGGGCTTGCTTATCTGAAGCACTTTGTGGCAAACCCATACCAATTCTCCCTTATTGGACTAGATTTTCCTGTGCAATCTCCAGTTAGCAAATGAATGATCTACCAGAATTAGGTCCATTTGATGTTCCTTCTTTGGATTAAGACCGTTTCAGTTATGTTTGTCCTCATAGTCATATGTATGTGTAGAAGCTATTAATCCATGTTTGGGTAAGTATGGAACCATCTAGTTCATCTTATACACTACAAGTGAGTTTCCACTATGTGGAGTCACAGAAGTACATTTCGGACTCCTTACCTCTTCCGATTCCCAAAATGATAATTATAATGTGTCTACCTTCACTCTCGCAAATCATGTGGCTTGCACGTGACTCGCTTCCGCGTGTTGATCATGAACAAATACATAGCCACGGCCACTTCTTTGGTATTCGTATTTTGGAACAATATCCTCAAATTTTGTGCGTAGATACACAATTAACACCAATTTTTATCATTTTACTTTTGCGAATTATAATTATCATTTTCTAGTTATCAAAATTATAATTTACTGAACACCTTTCCAAAAGTAAAACATATATTTTAGCAATAAAGGTTAAATTTATTCAATTATAATATTATTATTTTGATGGTAATTTTTTCGTACAAATCAAGCAGACGATATGATATTTTTGAAAGTTGTCCAATTTTTGTTTTTTTTTTTGTTTTTTTTTCTTAAATAACTAGGAGGTTCTGGCTAAACTCAATCCTCTAACCTCAAGCTTGCCTATGATCCTTTAGTAGTCAACTAGGAGAGCACCTGCGCAATGCGCGGGTTTTTGCTTCAAAATTTTTTCAGTTTTTCATATAATTCAAGTTTCCACGATTTATTATTATGTCTTTTCTACTTGTTCAGATCTTGTTTAAATTTTTATTTAAAAAGAGTTAAACTGTTAGTGAAATGGTTTTGCTTTTTTTTTTTTTTTTTTCTATTGGCGTAATTTAGAAGCATAATTTAAGAAAGACTACAATCTTAAGAGGACGACAAAAGTTTCATGGGCTTGCTTATCTGAAGCACTTTGTGGCAAACCCATACCAATTCTCCCTTATTGGACTAGATTTTCCTGTGCAATCTCCAGTTAGCAAATGAATGATCTACCAGAATTAGGTCCATTTGATGTTCCTTCTTTGGATTAAGACCGTTTCAGTTATGTTTGTCCTCATAGTCATATGTATGTGTAGAAGCTATTAATCCATGTTTGGGTAAGTATGGAACCATCTAGTTCATCTTATACACTACAAGTGAGTTTCCACTATGTGGAGTCACAGAAGTACATTTCGGACTCCTTACCTCTTCCGATTCCCAAATTTGGTCCATTTGATGTTCCTCCCTTGTTTTGAGACCGTTTCAGTCATGTTTGTCCTCATAGTCATGTGTAGAAGCTATTAATCCATGTTTGGGTAAGTATGGAACCATCTAGTTCATCTTATACACTACAAGTGAGTTACCTCAATCTGGAGTCACAGAGGTACATTTGGACTCCTTACCTCTTCCGGTTCCCAAATTAGGTCCATTTGATGTTCCTCCCTTGGATTGAGACCGTTTCACTCATGTTTGTCCTCATAGTCATGTGTAGAAGCTATTAATCCATGTTTGGGTAAGTATGGGTCCATTAGTTCACCTTATACACTACAAGTGAGTTTCCTCAATCTGGAGTCACAGAGGTACATATCGGACTCCTTACCTCTTCCGGTTCCCAAATTAGGTCCATTTGATGTTCCTCCTTTGAATTGAGATCGTTTCACTCATGTTTGTTGATGTACTTGCATATTGCATAGTTTTAGTACATCTTTTATGCATCTTTTGCATAGTTTTAGCATCCATTAGCATCATATTTTGTTCCTTTTCTCTTCTTATGCATTCATAGTAGTTTTAAGTTTTCACACCAAATGATAGCAAAAACGAATCAAACTACTTGCAATCATCCCCATACTGAAAAGATATAATATTTTCTCCACCAAGCAGGTAGATTACAGTCAAATTTGAGCTGAATGATTAGTTTCGTCAATTTTTAGATTGAAACGATACATAGAGAACATATTCAACTGAATAATTAGTTCCCTGGAGTTTGCATTTGATCAATACACAAGCTTTTACATACCGATACGGTGGTGGTGACGCTTACTCCATCGAATCCAATTCTGGAGAGAATGTCGGAGCTATGATTCCGGGTATCAATCGTAGTCACGAATTGACAGTGAGCCGTGTGGAATTGGGGAAAACGTTCTGGGAAAAAAAGTGAGATCAGATGGCGGAGCTTTATATAGAGGCAGCGAGCATTGAAAGCTGAAACGGCAGAGGCAGGGATGTGAACAGTCTCGCCGGAGGTCGGTGTGGATCTGGCGGCCGATCGCAGCGGAGCAGTCGGGAAAAAAAGTTGCGTGGAAAAAAAAATTTATTAGGGTTCAAAACGACGTCGTTTTGGCGTAAGAGGGAGAGAAAATAAAAATGCTTTTTTTTAAAGGACAAAACGACGTCGTTTTGGTGTGAAAGGAAAAAAAAATCAGAAACCCAAAACGACGTCGTTTTGGTGTTTGGCGAAAAAAAAAAAGGTGCCACGTGTCCCAGCTGGAGAATGTCCCAAGCCTTATTAGTTATGTAGATCTAAAGCCACTTGGTATTTTGTTTTGTTTTTCTTGTCACGTATGGCAGGGTGGAAAGTCAGAGTATTGAGCACAGCAGGACGGCTCACGCTTGCGAAATCAGTACTTGCATCGATCCCTGTACATTCGATGGGCACAATCCTCTTGCCAAAGGCTACAATGGCTAAACTGGACCAGCTCTCGAGATCCTTCTTGTGGGGAAGCAATGGAGGGACCAAAAAACAGCACCTAGTGGCCTGGGAACGAGTGTGTCTCCCCAAGTGGGAGGGAGGTTTGGGCTTGCGTCCCGCAGGAAGTATGAACATAGCTATGATAGCCAAAGTCGGATGGAGGCTGTTACAAGACCACACTAGCCTTTGGGCACGTGTACTACGGAGCAAGTACAAGTTAGGTGAAGCTTTAACCGGCAATTGGATAGTAAAGAAGAACCATTGGTCATCGACATGGAAGAGTATAATGGTGGGTATCAGGGAAGTGATTTTCCAAGGTCAAGGCTGGGTTGTAGGAGATGGGAAGTCCATTAAGTTCTGGACAGATAGATGGGTGTCGGATCAACCGTTGGTCGATACCACAAGAGCAGAACTGCCGGAAAATTATGAAACCCTAACGGTCAGGGACTTATGGCAAGAGGGTACAGGGTGGATCTGGGACAAGATCCTCCCCTTCGTGTCAGACAATACGAGACTTGAATTTCTGTCTTTAGTGGTGGATACAGTTACAGGCGCAACAGACCGAATATCTTGGTTACTTAGCCCGAGTGGAGAATTCTTGGTGCGATCAGCTTACATCCTTCTGACAAGGAATGAGTGCCCGCGACAGTCTATGGAGTCATTCTTCAGCCGTATATGGAGTGTTATGGCACCTGAACGAGTGAGGTTTTTTCTTTGGCTAGTAGGGAAGCAATGCGTCATGACGAATGCAGAAAGGAAGAGGAGACATCTCTGTGACTCGGATATTTGTCCCGTGTGTAAAGGTGGAGTGGAAACGCTCATACATATCATTAGAGACTGCCCTGCCATGCAAGGTATCTGGACCAGACTTGTCCCAGCCAGGAAGCAACATGAGTTTTTCATGAAGCCGCTCCTGCCATGGTTATATGAGAATCTGGGAGAGGACGGTGTAACGTTTGGAGTGCCGTGGTCTACTCTGTTTGGGATGTCTATTTGGTGGGGTTGGAAGTGGAGATGCGGGAACCTTTTTGGAGAGAATGGGAAGTGCCGGGATCGGGTGCGCTTTCTCAAGGACCTCGCGAAAGAAGTGCTTACAGTCTCTGAAGCGTGTCTGACACAGAACCCGAAACCGTTACGGGAGGAACGAATGATCAGGTGGATACAGCCGCAAACAGGGTGGGTTAAACTAAATACGGATGGAGCTTCCCGCGGAAACCCAGGGTCTGCTGCTGCAGATGGGGTGCTTCGGAATAACTATGGAGAATGGTGTGGTGGCTTTGCGCTACATATCGGGAGATGCACAGCGCCGGTAGCGGAGTTGTGGGGCGTTTATTATGGATTGTGCTTTGCTTGGGACAGAAAGATTGTGAAGCTCGAAGTGGAAATTGATTCTGAGCTGGTGGTGGGTTTTCTTACGACAGGGATTGGTAGTTCACATCCGCTGTCCTTCCTGGTGCATCTGTGCCATGGCTTCATCAAAAGGGACTGGGAAGTCCGCATATCTCACGTGTATAGGGAGGCTAATCATCTGGCTGACGGATTAGCAAACTATGCTTTTACTCTTGCTCTAGGTTTGCATAGCTTCGTAGAAGCCCCAAGAGATGTTATTTCTATTTTACAAGATGATGTACTTGGATCTGCGTATCCAAGGAATGTTTGCATTTCTTAAATTTGTTTCATGAATAAAGAGTGGGAAACATTTGTTTCCCACACAAACCACCAAAAAAAGAACACAAACAATAAATATCAAATTATTTTTGGAAAAGAAGTTTGAAACCCTTTTGCCTTAATTTTAATCTGCACAACAAACAAAGTCATGTCATCTTTTTTTTTAACGCAAGTTTTATTCAACCCTTTTTTATGGAGAATTGGCAATATACCCCAAAAAAGGTCTTCCTTGTCCTTTTACCCTTTTTTTACTTTGTTTATTTTTTTGCCTTAATTGCCCTTCAATATTGTTAAAATCTTATACCAAATATTATTTGAAGTGAATTAATTTCTAAAATTCTTAAAAATGATCTCAAGAATATGTAAAATATTTGAACACTTTTAAAATTTTTTTGGATGGTTAGAAAATTATTTGAATTTTTGTTCTACCAATCTAAAATATCGAAGTAAAATATGTTTTCTACAAGATATTCAAACGTCTAACCGCCCTAGAATATGATATCTACCATTTCTTCATTCTTCTGCCGGATGTAGACTTTGATATCTACCATATACAATACACTCTACTATTTTGTAGAATTCGCTCCAAAAATATTCTACGGAATACACCATCCTGCTACTACTCGTAGATTCCAAATTCTACGGTAAACACTGCTATCTACCAGTCATAGTTTTCGTGTACTACATATTTCATGTTTTTCTGCAAGGCGTAGAACTAGGGATCCGAAGTAATCGTGTTGTTCACAGGATGTTCTACTAAATAGGTTAGTTCTACATTGTGTAGAGTTCATCATCTGCAAAAATCGAGAGAATATTGCAAAAAAATATTTTTCAAATCTTTGTTTCCTTATTTTCATCCAACTATCCGAAAATAAACCTCCATGATCATGTTCTTCCTCGTCTTCTTCATCCCCTTCCTCCTCTGTAGTCCTCTTTCTCTCTATCCAATATGGTTCAAATCTATGTAGTATGTGGTTCATGGAAAAGGTGTCAAATCAATGGGTGGATATTTGTTGCTGATGAAAGGAAAGGAGGAAGAGTAGTTGGTGTGGAATCTAACTACTAAGTTTGACGACCTAAAAGCATGGTTTTAGAGGATTTCTCTCGAGAGCGGAATCGACGTCGAGTTTAGCTATTTGCCACGCGGTTTGATCAACGATGCTATATCTCCCCGAGTTGTGATTTCCAACGATCGGCAAGTGCAAAATTTCGTTGGATACATAAGGAAGCAGGAGTCAAAGCAGTTGTGTTTGACACTTAAGGATCCCAAAGAAAATAGTGGAGTCCACATTGATGGTAATGGTGATCATGGAGGTGTACCTCCAACCGATGGATTATCCCATGTCAAAGATGAGATCAAAAAAGGGAAAATGATACTCAAAGAGATCAATGATGAAGAGGAAGTATTGTCGCAAAAGGAAATCGAGTATGATTATCAATTTCGTGGCGCTTTGATGGAAGCTGTGAAGATAAAGCAAGAATTCAGAAGCAAAAGTCTGTTGAAATCCACTTTCGAAATCCTTGCTATGAAGCACAATTTCGACTACATCGTGCTCAAATCGGACACTAGTTTTTGGACAGCTCGGTGTGTGGTCAAAGAATGCAACTGGCGCGTTCGAGCAGTGAGTCTAAAAGGTACGACCATGTTTGTCATCACCAAGTATGTGGGTGAACACACTTGTGCTCCTTCAGGTAAAGCCAAAATCGGGAGGACAGCTTCAGCGAAGACAATTGGCAATCTCATTATGCAGAAGTATGAAGGTGTCAAAGAAGGACCTAAACCCAATGATATCATTCAGCTGATGCGTATTGAGCACAGATGCAAGATCTCTTACGATCTAGCATGGGAGGCACGTGAGTTTGCTGTCAATTATGTGAGAGGAATACCTGAGGAGAGTTATGCAAAAATACCAAGGTACTTGCACATGCTAAAAGAAGCTAATCCGGGTACCCATACTGCTTTCAAGACGGATCCTGATGGTAGTTTCAGATACATGTTCATCTCTTTTGGTCAGTCTATAAGAGGGTTCTACAAAGCCATGCGACGGGTAATCGTTATTGATGGTACATTCTTGAAGAATAAATACAAAGGAACACTACTAGTTGCTACAGCTTTAGATGGTAACTCGAATTTGTATCCACTAGCATTTGGTGTGGTTGATTCAGAGAATGATCTATCATGGGAATGGTTTTTGAGGCAGCTACATGTTGTTATTGAGGATGATTACGATCTGGCCTTCATCTCAGACAGGAATTTGTCCATTGGCAGACTACTTCCTATAGTTTACCAACGAGCTACTCATGGAATTTGTATTCACCACTTGCTGAACAATGTCATCTCTTATCTACATGGAAAAGGTGTGGCTGCTTTGGTTGCAAAGGCTTCTAAAGCATACAGAATTGCTGATTTTCAGACGATGATGACTGATATCGTTAAGAACAGACCGGATGTGGGGAAGTATCTTGTGAAAGCTGATGTGAGAAAGTGGGCTCGCTGTCTATTTGTTGGATACAGGTATGATGTTAGGACAACTAACCCCGCTGAGTCGTTGAATTCAGCATTGAGATCACCTAGAGAGTTCCCGGTAATCCCTCTACTAGACAGCATTAGAGAAATGTTGACAAGGTGGTTCTTTAAGCGTAGAACATTGAGCTCCAAGCATACCCACCCTCTAACGTTGCTGTTGAGAAGAAGATTACAAGAAGGACGGAAAAGGGTAAAGCATTCACGGTTCAGCAAGTAGATGCAACTCGATTTGTGGTGGGAGGTGACATCTACGAATGTGTGGTTGATTTGGCGAAGCGAACATGTACATGCGCCAAGTTTGATCTGCAGAAAATTCCATGTAGGCATGCGATCCCAGAGCAATTTTTGCAATTGGAAAGCAACCACATGAATTCACAGATGAGCTGTGGAAAACTGAGTTATGGAGAGTTGGGTATGAAGAAGCAGTAAATCCAATAGGTGTTCCTGAGGATGCATGGAGTGTCCCCCAAGTTGTTGATGAAGAGATTGTTTCTTGTCCAGAATCACGCAGAGCTGCTGGTAGGAGAAGAAAGAGACGGTTTGAATCGGTTGAGGACAAGATTAGATCGCAGCAAAGGAAGACACACAAGTGTAGTCGATGTGATAATTCAGGCCACAATAGAGCAACATGTGACATGCCAATCTAGTATAACACCATGTTCCATTCGTTTCTTTGTTTCTGTTTTCTTTGTTTCCGTTCTCTTTGTTTTTGTTCTCTTTGTTTCAGTTTTTTTTTTAAAATTTTTTTTGGAGAAAGACTCTTTTGTTCTTTGCTGTTCCTAGTCAGAAACATGTTTTGCTTTTGTTTGTTTGTCGAGTCCAGTGATCATTAGATAAATGCATGCTCCAATGATCGTGTATTACAACAAAGACATAAGTGAAAAGCAATAATCTGTAAAGTCATCGTATTCATACAAACATGTTTTAACACTTTTGTTCTTTACAAACATGTTTTGTAGTCACTGTTGTTGGAAAGGTCACTTTGAATCTTCCCAAGGTTCCTTCTGCATATAGTCTTTTGGGCAACTCAGAGTCCATATCTGCACCTAACGAAACCACCAGAGAATAAATTGTTAGGAAAAGGAGAAGAGAAAAGAAAGTGTAGTACAGTTTGACTTTATCATCAACAAGTTTCATATATGAAAGTGACAAGGTTCTAACACTAGCATGCATTATCTCAAGAGTTAAACAAGCAAAAGCAGCAGACACGAGTTAAACAAGTCAAAGCAGAGGACAAGAGATATATATAAAAAAAAAAGCGGGAGACTAGATAAAAAATCTAACAGAACAAAACAATTATATATCATGTCCATCAGTAACAGTAAGAAGAGAATTGCTTTAAAAGCAAACATTAACAATCACACGTCAAACAATAACATAACTGAGTGATAAAACACCAAATGGAAACAACAAGCAGAAAACAGAAAAGCAGAAAATAGAGGAAACAAATCTTACAAGGATCAAACAATAAATATGATAAAAAACAAAGCGTCCCTAATTGCTAATCCCTATTCAAATTTCATATAACACAATCTACCAATTGCACACACTATTCCAAATTATTCTTAAAGCAACGGAATTCTAACAATTCATAAGCACACTAGGAACAGAAAACGTTTACCTCTAACTGGCGGAAGTTAGTGGCTGAGAAGCTGAGTGTAAAACCACCACACGAAGAAGAACTACGGTGTACTTCTTCACGGATTAAAGAAGACAACAAAGGCTGTAGGAAGACACCAACAAGAGAGTAAGACGATCATTAGAAAGAGGACATAAGAAGACACAAATTGTTGTACAGAAAACAGAGAGCATTAAATCTATTTTAATATGAAACAGAACCATTACGTTTTAGCCTTGAACACAAGTATAACCACATGATTGTAAGCAAAAACACAAATCATTCAAAGAAAAAATGAAATGTTCAATTACTCAAATCATACATATCTACAAAAACTATCCTAGGCATCAAATGTGAGGAGAAAACCCGAAATTAATTGAGGTTGCATAAGTTGCACATTCATGTTTTCATATGCAAACCCCAAATCAATTTCGCGAACACTGAAATCTAGCAAACCCTAATTGAATGTCATCAACAGATGATTCACAATCAAGTCAACCAATAATCTACCGAAGAAGTGAATGAAAAACTCGATTAAGCATATCACACTAACCTTGCGAATATGAAAAGGAAGTGAATCGGATTTTCGTGGAAAGGGAGAGAACTGGTGTCGGCGGAAGTCTACGGGAAGGAATGCCTAAAGAGAACAGAGCATGCGAAGGAGAACACGGCGACGGCGAGCGACGGCAGGGTAATCGCCGATGGGTGAGATTTCGGCTTCGATTTTCTCCGGCGGAGTGAACGAAAGAGACAAGAGGAGATTAATTGATCAAAAGTGGGTGTTTAATTGATTTTGTTTTATTAGTTTTATTTTTTAATTTTTTTTAAATCGAAAATGTCTTAATTTCTCAAAAAAACATTATCAATTCAATTTAAAGGTTGAAAACTGACAAATTGCCAAAAAAAAGTGTCATGAGACAAAAATCAAATGCAAAGGTGTAATGAGACAAGGAAGCCTATTTTTTAAAATATTTTGGCAGTTTCTCTTCTTCTTTTTTACGTTGAATGCATCATTTTTAGAACAATCAGATTATATAAAAAAAAACATCTTTTTCATGAAAGAGTGAGCTAACTCAGCAAATAAAAAACCACAAGAATCCTACGTATTCATGTGTGTCACTAAGCTACTACAAACTACAAACAAGAGTAGCTACAAATCGGTTACCAACTTTTTTTTCTATAAAGAAATCGGTTAGTAACTTAATAATCCAAACTAGAGCTAAGGCAAATGTGAAACTTATATTGCCCATGTTTCACAGTCTCTCTCATCGATCATCAGCCGAAGATACACTGCTCCTTAGTTTTTGCCCCGATATAATTTGTTCTTCCCATGCGCCTGTCTGTTCAATGTTCTTGCCCTTTTTTATTACTCCTATATTTTATACTAAATAGACACCCAATGACTTTATGTGTCTCCTACTTCATGCATAAAACTCAACCTCTCCCATGTGCCCTCACATGCATTCCAATGAATTACCACTCTATTAATTAGTTTTCTTTCAGATTATGTGAAGCATTGTTGTTAACACACACAAAAATTAAACACCCACTTTTGATACCACATTCAACAAACTATGGATCTCCGCAAAAGCAGAGCAAGAACAACCACCGTTACTCTCTCATGTCTTCTCTTAGTCTCTTCATTATACACAATCTCCACGGCAAAGTCAGTCACAGATTCGCTGTCTTACCAACTCTTTCTCTTTGCCGGTTTCTTTCTAGTAGCAGCTTTGTCGCTTCTGATACTTGTCACAGCGGCGCGAGCCACCATGGTCGCTTGGATAACAGTGCTCGTTCTGCTCGCCTTCTCTGGTACACATCGCCGTGTTCTAGTGAAGAGGGGGAAGACGATCACGATGGACGTGGCTATGTCCTTAGTCAGGTCCTAGTGGTTAGTTACTTAGTTTTATGGCGGTTCTTTGCTGTTAGAGAGTTTTTACTAATTTACAGTTACATATCACTTTTGTAGTACAAAAAATATTATGCCTCTTCTATCAAACACAACGCTATTGAGGGATTTTTTCCACAGCTATTGAAATTGTGTATGATCCAGCCTAAACGACGAACTGAGAAATTAAATCCACTGTTTATGGTGTAAATGGTAACCCAATTGAAAACCAAATCATTATGATTTTTTTTCACAATCTCCACTTGGTCCAACATCGAGGGGATTCTTCCATTTTAATTATATATTCGATAGTAAACGTAAGATTTCATATGATTTTTTCATCGTAATGAAATAATCTTCTATAAAATTTACGATTTTGCTAAAAGGAGGAAAACGACATATTTAATTATAAATCTATACAATACTCCCTCTGTCATAAAATGTAAACTATTTTGCAAAACAAATTTGACCCAAATATAAGCTATTTTCTACAATCAATTCACTTTTTACTTTATGGGGTATTGTGTAACCAATTATATTATACTTTTTTTCCTTGATTAGTTAGAGTAAGTTTCATTTATATTATTAATGATACTTTATTGAAAAAAAATACTTTCCTTAATTTTTCACTTTTGCCTAAAACTGCTTATAATATGGGACAGAGTGAGTAATTGTATCCTTTATTCTATTGTGTATATATAGGTATTGAGCACACATATCACTGAATGTCACTTGAATTATCATCTACAACCAATGGCTAAACTTTCTTCTTTCTCGATGCTCTTTTTCATCCTTCTATCTACCTTTATGATTTGCCATCTTCCCATGGTGAGCTCAGAATGGTGTGTACCGACTCTGACAGCAACAGATGCACAACTACAAGCGAATATTAATTTTGTGTGCAGACAAGGAAAATATATTTGTGATCCAATCAAGCCTTATGGAAAATGTTTTATCCCCAATACTCTCCCAAATCATGCAGCATTTGCGATGAATCTGTACTACCAAAAAATGGGCCGCACCAAAGAAGCGTGTAATTTTGGAAATACCGGAACATTCACTATTACTAATCCAAGCTTTGGTTCATGTGTGTACCAATCTTAAGATTATTTCTTTCTTTTTAAAATTTTTTTTTTCATATATGTGAAACTCATGTGTGAATGAATGATTTTCCATTTCCAGAATATGTAACCAAAATTATAAAGAATAAAACGAATTATGTTCTTCTATTTTAGTGATTTCTTTATTCTCCTTGTCATTTCTCTTTTTTTTGTTAACAGTCGCCAAGGATATAGTTGTGGAGTGCATGTCGAAGCCCTTTAACGGAAGGAACATCCTCTCGGTTGATCTATCGGTTGATGCAAAATGTGCTCAAAACTGGTATGCTGCTAAATAGGCTTAAAAAGAGGGTCAAGTCTTAACAAGAACACTTGAAGGAGAAACAAGATATTTTTTTGGCTATTGCTCTTCAACTGCAGTTTCTGAATGAACATTAACGCAGTGTTTTGAGTAGTAGATTTGTCTTGTCGGTTTTTTTTTTGGTTTTGTAAATGTTAGAAAGCCTCTTTTATACAGTGGCTTGTGTAAATCGATTTCTCTACTCTAAAAACCATCTCTAACTTGACGATGTTTTGAATGAAAACTGGTTTTTATCAATTTTCTTCAGAACAAGCTCCTTTTAACTCCAACGATAAAGAAAGAGTGTAAAATCCGGTTTCCTTAATTTGAACCGAAGAGAAAGTAAACCGATTTCTTAATTTGATCTAAGCAAACCGTAAGCATATGTGTATCTAAGAAAAACCAAACTTAGGGCTACGTTTTCTTTTCCTTGAGCTTATGATCACATTAGGGTTGAAGAAAACGATCAATGGAGCAACAAGAAGAAGAAAATCAGATCAAAACGATGAAGCAACAGGAAGAAGAAACTCAGATCAAAAAAAGGAGACAATCTTCATCAGTCTCATCGTCCTTTCCTCACGATCTCATCTCGGAGATACTCTTGAGGCTGCCTTTGAAAACTGTCGGGAGATTTCGTTGTGTTTCGAAGCTCTGGTCATCAGTCACCACAGATCGTTACTTCATCAACTCGTTCGTAACTCGGCCCCAAAGCAAAAGTCCAAGACTTCTACTCTGCTTCAGAAGAGCCAACAAGGTGTTTGCTTTCTCGATTCCTCAAGATCATCCAAAAGAGGCTTATTCAGTTTCTTCCCAGCCTGTTGATAGACTTCATATGACGACATACCACAAAAACGGTGTCTTCTCCCCCAGGAAATCTGTGCAAGGCTTGATCTGCTTTCCAAGAAGAGCAAAAACCCTAATTTGGAACCCTACAACAAGACATATCTCAACCATACATAAACCGGAAAAGAGTTGGAAGGATAGAACAGTGTTTTTAGGATACGATCCAATCGGATGTAAACACAAACTCGTGTCCATGCCTTGGGATAAAACCAGCGACGAGTGTAGGGTTTTAACATTGGGATCAGATCAAGAATCATGGAGAATGGTCAAAACCAACCATAATCATCGTCCTTCCACCAACTATATTAGTTACGAATGCATCAACGGAGTTCTGTATTATCACGCATGTATTGGAGAGGATGAGAACGTTCTTATGAGTTTTGATGTCAGATCTGAGAAGTTCCATGCGATAAAACCACAATGGAATAACAGCTTTGGTTTACTCACAAGATATAAGGGAAAGTTAGCTTGTGCTACGGTTAGCTATCCAGATTCTTGTCTAATAGTGTGGACTCTGAAGGATCCAGAGAAGCATTATTGGTCGCCTATAAACTTTCCAGGAGCACCTTTACATCCCTATGCTCCGAGATTGAAAACAAATTTCCGGTTAACTGGTATCACGGATGCTGGTGAGTTTGTTTACGTACCATATGAGTTTCGTCAATCGTTTTATGTTATGTATTATGATCCCAAAAGAAAGAGCATCCACGTAGTTGAGTTTAAAGGAATCGCAGACGACGAGTTTAGGCTCAAGCATGGACTTGGAAATAGACGTCTGTCTACTATCTTTACTGTTCCGAATCACATAGAGAGTCTCGTGTCTTTGTAAAACTTGGAACAAGTTGTGTTTTTTTTTTTTTTTTTTTCGTTTGAATAACCTTTTTTCGTTTTTTTTACCAATTCACCATCGATAATATTAGTAGTAGTGATGTGACGATACGTTATGATGGGAAGTTGACTTTACCATGAAAGGTGGTAAAATACTACGTACATTGTTGGTTTTAGACACGAGTGGTCGAGTAAAGACGTTCTTGTACCTTTTGTTCACGTTGACCCGAGTTCGAGAAACCTTTCCATACTACCAAAATGATGTTTTGAATGCAAACTGGTTTTTAAGTATCTTCACTACTCAGAAAAATGGTTTCCTTTTAAGTCCAACGATAAAACACGAGTGTGTTAAATCCGATTTAAATATTTAGTTAGTGTGAACCAAAGAGAAAACTTAACAAACAGATTTCTTAAACTCGTCTGAGCAAACCGTAAAGCATATTATATTTAGGGAAATTTGGCAAAATACTCCAGAAAAAGAGAAGAGTTGTCCATCTACTCTTTTTTTGCCAAATCTTGTCCACTTACCCTTAATTAAATTTTAAATCCAATTTAAACCCTCAAATTACGTTTTCATGATTTTTTCAAATGAATAAATAATTAATAAATGAAATTAAATGATTAGTGTAATAAACAAATAAATAATTAATTATTTAAGAAAAGAAAAATATATTTCAAAGCAAGTAATCTAGTTCCTTTTGCCTCACCAACAACGAAATTCCACCATTTGATTGCACTCAGTCTCCATATGTTATATAGATATGCAACAGAATAACCTGAGAAAAATAGATTAAAACAAATAATCTAAAAGAAAATTATATAAATGATAAGAAAAAGCAAAAAAGAAGAAGAAGAACGTGAGGAGAATTCTTTTTTTTCTTCTGGCAAAGTAGATTAAGGAAATATAGTTTTTGAAGATATTTTCTAATATTTAGTTACCATTTTTACTATATTTTTTAGATTCTCGTAGAAGTTGAATTCTATCATTTCGTAGAAAAATGTGTTTAATGTAGATTATAGTTTCTACAAACAGTAGAAGACATTGTTTTCAGGAGAACACAAAGTCTACAAATAGTAGAAGATAGTATTTTGTGTAGAACACGAATTCTCCAAATAGTGGAAGAAATTGTTTATGATAGAATATAGATTCTAGAGATGGTAGAAAACAATGTGTAGGTTAGAATATAGGTTCTACCAACGGTAGAAAACCGTATACAACGTAGAACAAATGTTCTACAACTCTACCAACTCGTAGAGTATAGAGTATTTAGTAGAAAGCAAATTCTACGATGGTAGATGGCTGAACAGTTGGTAGATTTTATGTTCTACGAGGGATAGATGTGAGAGTCTCTAGTAGAAGACAAATTCTACTTTGAATAATGAATTTGGTAGATGCAAATTTTATTTATTTTTCTGAGGTTCAAATTTCAAAAACAAATTGTGAAAATATTCTCTAAACCTTAGAATCATTTTACTTAATTTATTTAATTTTTTAAAACTTTTAAATATATTTATATCATATTTCTAGCATATGTAAGGGTATTAGAGTCCAGATTTGATAAATTTCAAAAAAAGTGTAAGGGGACAATAGTTCTCTCTTTTGGGTATATTCACAAATCTCCCTTAAAAAATCAATCATGCATACCATTCCCAACTTTTTTTTGACGGTTACATTTTTTCAATAATGTAATCTCCATTATTGGTTATCAATTTAATTTATGTGTAGATTTTTCATATGTAACTAGATCAATGCCTACGTATACGCGCAGGTTTTTCTATTGTTATAGTTTAAAAAATATTATAAAATAAATTATGAATGACGTCAAAAAAAACAAATTATGAATTTGTGACTTGTATTTTGATATGATATGTAATATTATAATTCGAAATAAACAAACCCCACAATTTGATTTCATCTTATTTGTTTAGCAATTGACTTTGAAATATATATATATTTGCATCATACTAGATGTCCCCTTAACTCTATGTGTTTACTCATCGTTATATAGAATAGATTCTAGCTTCTGTCATCGCTTTTCGCTGGATCGGTTTCTCTGTATATTAGGATAATTTATACACTCTTGAAATCACATCCAGATACATCCACTTTTTTTTCAGATATATTTTTCCTAACTGCTTATAATATGAGACCAAAAAATTATTAAATAATAACATTAAATTGAAGCCGAAGAGTAATAATGTTGGAATAACTAAGTAGTTTCCGTTATAACAAGAGGTATCTCGAAAAGTGACTTATTACCTTCACACATAATGAGTTTGTACTTTGTATAACTTATTACCTTGTAAACTGGAGAAGACAATGAAAAGTCAATTTTGAATTTTTAAATTGAAAATTCTTATTGGCACATGTCATCTTCTCATGTGTCCATATATCCAAATATGGAGATGATTGTTTTTTCATATATATATATGATTTAATAGTGATTTAAGATAAAATTAAAATATAATTGTTTTAAAGTAATAAAATGGTTATAATTATAATAAACTAATATATTTAGTAAATAAATCAAATTTAATGTTATTAATTGATAGGAAAATGAAAAGTCATGCCATCTTCAATCATAAAAGTGTCCACATGTCACAAATATGGAGATAGTTGGCGTCTTTTCATATATATGATGTGTGTTATAATAAATGACGTTTTGGAGTATAATACAATTATGTTATAAAAAATGGCAAAGATTAATCTTAAAATTACTAAAAGAAAATGACAAACATCAAAATAATGAGTTGTCAATTGTACATTGTAACTTGTAAGAATAAGTAAAAAAAAATCAGTCAACTTTTTTGCATTAAAAGGATAAAACATCACTTGTAGTCATTGTTTATGATTTACTCTCCCTCTCTCTCTATCTGACTGATATTCCAATTTTTTGTTTTATCAAAAACCAATTTCTAATATATTTTTTGTATTACTTAATGTTAATTAGTTGTAATCTTCAAAACAATTACTGAATTACTATTGGTTTAAGACATTGATTTGTGAGAAAGCTTAAAAAAAAACAAGATTCAATCTTGTAGAACCTTAGTGTAAAAATGAAATGATGTTTAACCTTAATCTTTTCGTTAATCGCAACTTCAAAAACTAATAAAAATAATAGTAGTATTAAATTATAAAATTTATATTGTTTTAAAGCGACGGTTTTAGTTCAGTTTCGGACTCTCTATCGTGTGTGACCTTCAAAACAAAGACTGCGTCGTCCATTACTGTTCCAAGCAAAATTTCCGGCAAGTCTCCTCCACTACACTCTTCTCTGTTCTCTCCACCGTAACTTTCAAACTCTCTAACGTTCATACCAAAAAAGACTTTCAAACTCTCTACTTTCCAAAACAAAAACAGACTTTTAATTATTTTGTGTAACCGCTGAAAATAAGTAGTGACTTGATTGTTTCCTTTCCTTATATGGAGGACGAATCTTCATCACTCGATATGGATCTCATGGAAGAGAGAGAAGAACCAATGGTGTTTCCTTCCGAGAAAGATCGTACTTTGATAAAAACCCCTTTTCTAAAACCCTTTGTAACCTCCATCGATGGTTCAATAGCAGAGCTTCCTCATCGTCGTCGACGTCTCTCTGTTTCTGCATCGTCACACCTAAAGCACACCTTCTCGGCGATTTCCTTCACTGGTTTTTGGTTTGCCGGTGATCGTTTCAAATCATGGGCTGCAAAAATGGAAGCT